GAATATAATATATTGGAAATAAATATCTGCAACACTCGAATTTTAATATCAAGGGGTTTTTATAGTTCAATCCACCCGTAGGTAAAATCACGAATAAGATGCAACTTATAGAAGGCTACTAGTAGACTAACAGTCCACTTATCCATAATATTCAATCAGTCATCTTAACAATTATTTCCATATCTACCAATTATGTTAAATATGAAATTACATTGTCTATTTATTTTCTCATTAGTTTTGGTTTTTTGTGGTTTATTTATTAATTATGTTAAAAACATTATTATAATATACCAATGAATGTCAAAGCATTAAATGACAAGTGACAAATCAATGAATCAACTCAATCATAGAGGCCTTTGATGGATTGGTGGATGAGATGTCAGTATGTCCCAAAGGGGTAATGTGTAGTGTTACATCACACAAAGGGGTAATGTGTAACCACGATTACAGAGAAGGAGAAGAAAAGAAAAGATTCGAGATTCGAAAAAACAGAAGGGAGACTTGAGGGAGGGATCAGAGAGGAGAAAAGAGAGTAAAAAAATATTCGCATGCAGGAGGGAAAGAGGATCTAAATATTTTATTCAAAATTAATAAAGAGGCAATTTTGTCGTAAAAAAAAAGAGATACGAATTGTATCTCATATGATGCTCTCTTTTGTATACAGCTCTTTTTTTATATTTCTTCAAAAAAATTTACTCTTTTAGTTATTATACGAATTGTGTTTCTTTAATCCATATTAAGGCCGAAAACCTACCCTTATCGGCTAGAATCCCTTCTTAAAATACTCTTACTGTACTTCACTCTGGATTTGTCAGAATCCTGACCGGTTTCTCCTCCGTTGGTCGTCGCACCGCTCTTCCTATTCAACGAATGAATCCGAAACCCCCTTCTTCTCTCTTTTTCAAATTTTTTTTTATTTGTTTGCTTTCTTTATTGCACTAATGAAAGAGATAGAAAAGAGATATGACAGAGCTCAACAAAGGAAGCGACGAGAGTTTCGTCCAGTTCGTTATGATCGTTGCAAAAGGGAAGCAGCGATAATGCTTGTCGTTGCAAGAGAGGTAACCACGGACAACCCGATGTCGTCGTTTCTTTACCTCTATTGAAGAGTGATGAATCACCGAAACCCCTTGGTTCAACTGGAACCCGAATCTGGTCGCTGGTGTCATTGCCTACCTGGATAAGCATGGACAACCTAAAGAAGTTGAAGCCTGATTTTTCGAAGGCTTTCTGTCTCTCTCTACTCTGCTTTGTCGTCGCCGTCGTCGGATGTCCCTTGGTTGCGCGGATGTCCCTCTGATGTCTACTCTACTCTTCGTGGAGGGTGTACTGCAGCGGATTGACGATCAAGTAATTTGGACAAGCCGTCACGATTGGCGACCACCATATATGCGTTGGTTTCCATAAAGTTGTTTTCTTCGGCAATGGGCAGAGTGACATCCGTAGTACCTTTCGGCGTTTGCTTCAGGAGTTAGCTTACGATGAAATGTATAAGGCGGATTTGGCCTTCGAGTGAAATTGTGACATCTGATATCTCATCCAAATCAAGTGCAACTGAGCAGCTCGGGTAGCTCGATACAACTCGGGCAGCTCAGCATAGCTCGGGGAGCTCGGTATAGGTAGGGGTAACTCGGTATAGGCAGCTCACCACAGGCAGCTGGCCGCTCCGCAGGCAATCTGGCGTCTTACGAAGAGCTCGCCACTTAAGGGCAGCTCGGCACTTACAGGTAGCTCGGCATAGGCAGTTCGCTACAGGCAGCTGGCCACTTCGCAGGCAGCTTGGCATCTTACGAAGAGCTCGCCACTTAGGGGCAGCTCGGCATAGGCAACTCACCACAGGCAGCTGGCCACTCCGCAGGCAGCCTGACATCTTACGAAGAGCTCGCCTCTTAGGGGCAGCTCGACACTTACAGGTAGCTCGGCATAGGTAGTTCGGCACTTAGGGGCAGCTCGACACTTACAGGTAGCTCGGCATAGGTAGTTCGGCACTTAGGGGCAGCTCGGCGTATCGCAGGAAGATCTCCTACCTAACAACCATACCTAACAGATCCGGAGGCCTGCACCCACATCTCTCGCTAGGCGGCGCCGTGCCTGCCAGTGCCAGTCCTGAGAGCTGTCCCTTGACTGGCAGAGCTGTACTCTGCAGCAGTCGCCTGCACCCGCCACCTCAGCTCTGGCAGTAACGGCTGCGGCAGAGAGACAGAGGCAGTTAAGCCTGACTTAATAGAGACTGTTACGCCTGATTTGACAGGACATCACTATATAAGGACTCTGACCCTCAAAGACAAGGGGGAGGGAATGGAAAAATGGAGGTAATCCCTGCTCTCTAGCTCTCTCATTTCTCTCCAAGCTCTCTGCAATTAGAATGCTAATTTAGGCATCGGAGAGTCCCCGCCGGGTAAACACCCCCGGGTCCTCTGATTCAGTTCTCGCAGGTTCCTCAGCTCCCACCGCCTACAAAGAGGAGGAAATGATGGAGTTCTCGCAGGTCCCTCAGCTCCCGCCACCTACAAAGGAGAGGAGAGGGCAATCGCGTTTGCGCTACACCAGGGAGCTCCACCACTCTCTGAGTTACAGGCCGCCTAGGAGCAGGTCAAATGATGAGTCCACTCGGGCAGCTCTCCACCAGGGAGTTCGTCACTAGGTAGCTCTCCACTAGGGAGCTCATCACCAAGTAGCTCTCCACCAGGGAGCTTGTCACCAAGTAGCTCTCCACCAGGGAGCTCGTCACCAGGTAACTCTCCACCAGGGAGCTCGTCACCAGGTAACTCTCCACTAGGGAGTTCGCCACCAAGTAGCTCATCACCAGGCAGTTTGCCACCAGAGAGCTCCATCATCCTTTGAGTCATGGGCCACCTGGGAACAGGTCAAATGACGAGGTACTTACCCAAAAAATTGGTACATCACAACAAAATTGGTACATGACCAGAAACGGTTACATCAATAACCAATGAAATTTACAGAGAAGATTCCTGAAAATGGAAGTTGCGGCACTGTTTCATTCTTCTCAGAACAAGTCAACTCGAACCTGGGAAAGTTACAAGGAAATTATTACGTAGATGAACAACTACACATCAATGGCTAGACCCATCACCCATCTCCGATGGCTCACTGTTTACTCCTGATGAGAGCAGGACCCCTAATTGATTGAGTTCATATGAATAGATTTTTCCCCTAATGAAAGATACATGTATTCATGGAGATACAAGAGAAGTTCCAAAGGATTAAGGCTCTTATTTTAGAATTTAGACATCAACCAATCTACTACACTTATTTGTCTTTCAACGCTGTTTAATTACAATAGAACCGTGCTTAGTCTGAATTTATTTCTAGAAAAATTTCGTCCAAGAAGCTAGCTCACCTAACAAATTAAATCACGAATTTAGTCTCTCTCTTCTAACCGCTGAAGGGAAGAGAATGGGGATGGGGATGAATATGGCCTGATCGTCTAGTTTTTCTTAGGGTGTCTCTTTGTGTTATATGAAAGAGACACTTGTGTCTCTCATTCGCCAGGCCTTTTTTTTTTTTGTAAAATATCATTTATAATAAGAAAACAACCAGGCAAAAGGCGCAGAAGATTGACAAAAAACACAATAAAAACATAAAGAAAAACTGAAAACGCAGCTCTGTTTCTGAAAACACAAAAAGAAAAACACAGAGAATAAGTCGGTGTTGCAGAGCGAGATGATGTATCAGAAGATCTCTTCATCGGTTGGGTTTTATTTCGAAAATTTAAGGAATAATGGAGGGGAAATTTGTCATTTACTTTCTTCCCTTAGCACTTACAATCGATGTCAATTATTGGAAATAGTAGGAATGCTTTAAGACAATATGCTTTATATAAACATTAAAGGGTAGAATTAGTCAATTAATTAAACTCTAATGATAGTTTAAGAAGTTTGCACAAAATTAAAATAAATCATTTATTTGAACCGGACAGTCAGACCACTGACCCAGAAACTGGTGGTCAAAGAGGTTCCAAACAAATTGCCAGAAACTGATAAGTATTTAAAACCTTGATTTAACCAGAAAGAATAAAGTAAAAAAATAATCCAAACAATATGCCAATTTGGTTTTGATAATTTCTTGGATGATAGTTACAAATCAATACGGAGTTCACATTTGCGCCCCACAATGCCGCACAGAACATCGCGCTGTGTGGCAGGAACATCCCCCGATGATAGTATCAAGGAAATGTTCCCAATACATGGCAGGGATGTGGTGTGGGACGTTGTAAGGCACAGATCTGAACTCGTCAATACAACCAATATACAGATTATACAGCTAGCTAGGTACGGTTTTGCAAAGAGAGCAAGGATCCCATATTCTTATCCTAGGCAGCCAAATTCCACCGGCACGGTGCACACTTAAGCGTGCAACTTGGGCCGGGTTGAGGTCAACCCATGCCCAATAAAACTMTTAAGCCTAAGACCCCAATCTGACTTAATTTGAGTAAACCGATATTCATAATCAGGTTAGATTGGGCTGTATTTTCATTCCATGAAACATAAAGATCATTGGGCTGGACCTTTCTACATGGGTGCCAATGACGTGCAAAATAACTGGGCTGCAAGCAGCTGGGGTTGGAAAATGATAATAGCTAAATCCAGCCAATACCCAATTTTCTTTTGCCACGTGTCAATAATTTGCAGTAAAATTATCCTCTGGATAAATGATTTTGAAGAATTATTGTTTCCTTCATCGTAAGAGGAATTGTGTTCCACCAAATGCATTTTCAGTTAAAATTTAGGATTTTAAGGTTTAGGATTACGATTTAGGGTTTTTATATAAAAATCAAGAGGTGGTAGGAGCGTATATGTGCTCAATGATAAAAACTCTACTATAATACAACTAGGCTTATAAACAGCCAAAACCCAGCCCAGAATAATATTTGGCCCAGGCCCTAAAATTCTCACTTTCTCAGCCGGCCGAAGATGGAAGCGAAGTTTTCTCCGCAATAAATCCAACGGCTCAGTTGTTGCTGGTGCTCAGTATGTTCAATGTTGACTGTTCTACTTTTTCCCATCCCACCGTACGAAGCGCTGTTTTTAACTTCATTCAGATTTGGATCCAGGTTCCAGCCGACAGACCTGCTGACTCTCTCTCGTTCCCGCTTTCCGTATTTTTAAAGTCCAAAACGAGGTTCTAGGAAACGCGATCTAATCACAACTATGGCGTCTGCTTTACTCCATTCGCCCCCAAACGAAGAAATAAAGTAAAAAGGGTAAACGAAGACAAAAGAAATCGGAAATAAATTGAAAGAGACAGTTTGCATGAGAGTCGTATAAATGACAGTTCATTCTCCTTCGAACCCGTCGTTTTCTTCAATGGCTGAGGGATGACTTCTCAATCTCTGATTCTCTGCTGTCACTATTCTGTTTAGATCTGTCATTGGAAATGATAACATCTCAGGTTTTGAACTGTTGATAGCCTGGAAAGATCAATCCCCTTCCGGATTTTCATCACGTTTCTGTGGTTAGATCGACTCCTGAAGCACCTCAATTCGCTGAATTCTCCTTTTTTACTGTCCTCTTGAGATATAAAACAGACTGATGGAGATGCTGTTTTTTGAATTTCTCTTGAAATTCTGACCTTCGATTGATTCTACTATAGGTCAGATTGGATTCAGGGAAGGTCCTTTACTTTGGGTTGGAAATGGAGAATGGTGAGACTAGGATGAAGCTTGAGATCTTGAGGTTGAAGGACGACCGAGGTCTCGATCGTAGATGTGGTGGACAATTCAAAGCAGAGCCTTCTGTTTTAGGGAGTACGGATATCTCTGTTTCTTCGCCGGTCACTCGGCAGAAAGCCGCTGCTGCGAAGCAGTTCATAGAGAACCATTATAAGAATTATCTACAAGGCCTTCAGGATCGTAAAGAGAGGTATAGTTCGATCCTTCCAAGTTGATTTAACCTGCGAGAGAATGTATTTTAAAGCTATGGAGAGAAAAAGAAAAATGACAAATGAATCCACCTTATTTTTTCCCCTTATGAGACGTTTGCGAAAAGTCTGGAATGACGAGCTAGATAATAATCTTGTTGTTGGTTTCCATTGCGTTTGGGAGCTGAAGCTCGCAATGCGCTCATTCCCAGTTGTTGAGAGAACTCCCGAATGAGGTCCCCTAAGGATATAATTGGTTTGATAGAAAATAAGAGAGAAACCGAAAGTTGAGGGAAGTTCTTGACAAATTTTGTGAATTCTTTAAGAGTTTCCCTTCCAACTTCTGTTTCTCTCTTATTTTCTTTCAAGCCAAACAATGCCTAAAGGATTAAGAATTTATGCTCATTTCCATCCTTCTTTTCAACTGGAAAGGGTCGAATTTGAATGAAAACATTGCGTCTCAAATCTTTTGGAAGGCTAAATGAGATGATTTAGTTTTGCGTGGTACTTAGATTACTATTGGAATATGAATCGAATTTGGTCTTTGTATGTTTCTTTGATGGTACATCTTATATATCAATGTTCCGGGGTGCATGTGTGTGTGTGTGTTTCTGGGGATAGGATATGTGACTGTATGCATTGGCTTTACACGCGCTATAGAATTTTGTTGGATGTGCAACAGGGAGTCTCAAATTTACATATTAATAATGGCCTTACCTGGTGGTTTAGTTATTTTATTTTCTTAATCTGGCTGAAAAATAATCAAGTTAGGTAAGACCATTAATCATGCAAGTTCTTTATTGACTGAAGCATCTAGTTGTTTGCACAATCACACTCTAATTATATTGTCTGGAGGATGTATTTTGCTAAAAGTGATATAAGTACATACTACAATTCCCCTCCCTCCTTTTCTTAATGATCTTACTAGGAGCTCAAATGAATATTTTTCCTATCTCAGAATAAGCAGTAATATAGTTTCATATGAATCTATTTCAGACGTTGGGCACTTCAGAAGAGAGCACAAGAAGCTAACGTTTCAAATGAAGAACAACAAGAGATGCTGAGGAATTTGGAACGCAAAGAAACTGAGTATATGCGATTACAGAGACATAAAGTGGGAATTGATGACTTTGAGCAATTAACAATAATTGGAAAAGGGGCATTTGGTGAGGTATTTTGAGGATCAAAACAAAGAAAGAAAAAACTTCGGAATCATTTTTGATGCTCTTCTTCTGATAAAACTGTTAAATGCGCAAATGCTTTATTAATACAATTGAATAATGCATTTAACTAGTAATGGAGTGAAGCACAAGAAACAGCAAAAAACAGCTATTTTTTTTTTCCTTTGACTACTCTTCAAGCCAGCTGCTGGACTGTAAAATACTTCTGCATCAAAGATCTCATTAACTTGAAAAGACAGCAGGGCTAGCTGTCACCTTTCAGTCATTGATCAACTTGTTCAGCGGACTTTGTCCATTCAACTGGGACATCATCTATCAATATCTGAAACTTGTCTTTACTCTCTCCATAGTCACATCCTCTATTTGCTCAATTAGTTTTTTTTTTTTTTTTACTGATTTATACTTAACCAGTAAACCTGAAGAGGAGTCGTAGTTTTAAGGTTCTATATTTGTCATGGTTTTTTGGTATTTTCAATGTCATAGCTTTTATTATCTTGTAAACTCCATCTATGATAAAAATGTAGAAAAATCTGACTGATATTTGTTAGGATGATGATCCTTGTTGGTTGGGAGTTTCTGGTTGTAAACACAGTGCCATCTAAACAGTTTGACAAATGCAGGTAAGGCTTTGTCGTGCTAAAAGCACTGGAGAAATTTTTGCAATGAAGAAGTTGAAGAAATCAGAAATGCTCAGTCGTGGACAGGTGAATAATTCTCAAACTGCTCTGACACTTACAAGTTTGACATCTAATGAAAGAACCATTTATTAGATCTCCTTATTACCTAATGGATTCCAACCTTTATCTTTTTCTCAATCTCCTAGTTAAAATATCTTCTAAATTGGTGTATTAGTTGAAATAGTATCTGCCATGTAGTTGCAAGATATAATAAGATCAGATGGTAGGCTTATGATTATGGGGTAACTATTTCAGAAGGCTTTCATTTGGAAATTTAGTATAGCTGGCTGATTGCAAACATTTTGTCTTTATGTTCTGAACTCCAACTGAAATTACATCACTTGAACTGCATTTCGTTTGGTTGAAAAATATGGTACTACATAGAACATTCTATTCATGGTATAATAACACTTTTTTTTGAGGAAAGCTGCCACTCTCAGGCCTTCTCCCATGCCATTGCAATGTGTCTTTGTCCTTGGCAATGAGTACCATTATGCATGATTGCTCACAATAAGGAGGAAGGAGAAGCACTGTAACTTCTGATTTGAGGTTGGGATTGCAAAATATTTGCAACCCTTTCTGATGGTCAGGTGTAATTAATTACAACAAAGCTAGATATTTTTACGTAAGGTTCTGATCTGCTTAGTATAGTTTTCCACTCCCTCTCCCATGATAAGTTGTTGAAAGATTATTATGGTAAACAAAAATGGCACTCACATAAAAGTACTTGGTAAAACTTTTTGGAGAAACGTTCTTGATGCAGGGTTTGAACAAGATAATATCCACAAGCATGTCTTTTTTACGTTAAAAAAAAAAAATCTCAACCAGAAGCCAGTGACAGAACCATCATAAGAGTTATTACTGTAGTAGTTATGTTCTAGATTTGAGGTGACAGAACTTGCCCTTTTCTTGTGACATCAGAAATGCTATCTGATTACTAGTCCAACAAGTTTAAAAGTACTAGATTAATACATGAATTGAACAGGTTGTGGCCAATTTGCAGACAACTAATGGGTTGTTTTAGTTTTTGTGTTAGGATTTATTTTAGCAACGATGGTTTAAGAACTAGTTTTATTTTATGAAGTTTTGCTAAACTTTATAATATTCCAAGTCTACTTTTGAAATTCAATAAATTAATAATGCTGTGAAACATTTTTCTTTACTTTGCCAGTTGGCATTGGTAAATTTAATGAGTACAGGATGAGTTAGTCCAAAGATTATTATGGCCTTATCTTAAGTTCTTGATCATTAGCTGCATTTATTGATGTATTGTGTCAACCCTGAGGTTGTGGTCTGGGTCTACCAATAAAAGGAGGTATTATGGCTTTTGGTTATATAAACTAAGAACAGTATAGTACCGCAATTTCTTTTGAATATCTGAGGTCAATGCAACTTCTTAGTTTTTTCCACTAAATTGTTTTACTCCATTTTTTTTCTATGTCAGGTTGAGCATGTTAGATCTGAGAGGAACTTGCTTGCTGAAGTTGATAGCCGGTGCATTGTAAAACTTTTCTATTCATTTCAGGATTCTGATTTCTTGTACCTTATCATGGAATATTTACCGGGTGGTGACTTTATGACTCTTCTGATGAGGAAAGATGTGCTTTCAGAAGATGTCTCACGATTTTACATAGCAGAAAGTATCCTAGCAATTCATTCAATTCACCAGCATAACTATGTTCATAGGTATTGTTTGTGATTATTCAGTACTCAATCTGACGATGAACAGAGATTAGATATTAAATCATAGTTTACTAGATGCCTTTAATTTCTCTTCCAGGTACTTAATTACTTAGCAGTTGTGAACAGATTATCATATCCTCCTTCTGTGGTTTTATATGAATCCTTTTATTCCACTTTGCTCTATCTTATGGTCATATATTATGTTAAGAAATGTCATGTAATGAGTAAAAGCCAGCTACTAGGATTCACAAAGAATGTACAAAAGTTTTGTGCTGTCTGCCTCAACCTTACACAATCATACTCCATCAGAGAATCCAGCAAGGTGGAGCAAAGTTAAAGAGTTGAGGAATTGGTAACAGTTATTGGATGCTTGGTAGTAATTTTGACAAAAAAATTGTGCCGTTTGGAGAAGTATAGATTGAATCACTGAAAAACTAAGAAAAAAACAAGGTATAATTAACCATCCCAAGTGAAAGGGAATATTTCCCCCATAGAAAAGGATTTTGGATTAGTTCCTTCAATTCATATGCAATTCCAAACCTCCATCACTGTAATAAATTTATATCACTTTTCTTAGATTTTCTTTTTTGATTATTATCAATAACAGATCAACCAGAAAGTTATTAATGTAAAATTCCAGAAAAACTTAAGAAGAGGTAACTCAGCTTCAGATAGCTCAGAACAGGCTAATGGAAGACCCAAGTTATCTCAAAGTATCTTACAATTGTCTGCCCCCCAATAGCAGACCCCTAGATATAAGCCATCTGCATTAGTTCCTTGTCTTCCAATTTTCTAGATTTCAACATATATTCTACTTCTAAATCCCATAAATCTATGCAAAATATTCATATGATTCCAGATTTCTTTTCCATACCAAATTATTGGCAGAATGGTTATTGATGCCATGTTGATCCACTACACTATCAGCATCAGCAACTACTGATTTTCCTTTTTTGTTTTTCTGTCAGATCTCTTTGTATTCCCTGGTACCTCTTAAACCATGGCTTTTCAATTATGTTTCCTGACTGCTGCTTCTAATGAAGTTTTGTTCTCATTACCAAGAAAATGTGTTTCTGTTGTGAAATGGCATAGTTCCACATAGAATAGGAGATGTATAAGGAAACATGGAGGAACAAATGGGAGATATCAATAAAGCAAATGAAATGGCATGTTGATCCTCTATTCTTTTTGTTCATTTCTTTTTCTTGTCATTTTTAATACATTTTCCTTTTCCTCTATTTTGTAAATTTTTTCCTCTATTTTGTAATTTTTTTTGCTTAGATTTAACAGGTGTCCACCATGGGTTGATAACTTGAGATTAGGTGCATGTTAAAAACCATGGAGCATGGGTTATGCATTGAAGTTCTTTAATTGTGAAGCTTTAGGTTTAGCTTTCTTTCAAATTGAGAAGCTTTCCTAATGAATTGTTGAGCTGCATTCACCATTCTTTTTCCTGCCTGCAGGGACATAAAGCCAGATAATTTGTTATTGGACAAAAATGGGCATGTAAAACTCTCAGATTTTGGCTTGTGCAAACCCCTAGGTTTTAAATATTCATCATTTCTGTTGGAAAATGAGGCACTTGTACAGGAATCCGCAAAAACTGAAACTGAAGGCCATCCCACCTATGATAGGGCACCTTGGTTGATGCCAAAAGAACAACTACAACAGTGGAAACGCAATCGACGTGTGCTGGTAATATCTTTGTTCTATGATACAATTGTTGTATTTTTCTTGCTATGTTTCAAGTTTGTTGATAAATGACTTTCAATTCATCATCACATAAGCCTTATCCAGTTATCCCAACTATATGGGGTTGGCTACAAGAATCCTGTTTTTGTTTAGTTCCATATCCATTGTTAATATAAATGACTTTCTATTAAAAAAATATAAGATTTTGTTTCTTGTATGTTGCTTATATGTGCATCCTATTTATGTTGAATTTATCATTATGTATTTGTTCTACAGGCCTATTCTACTGTGGGAACTCTTGATTATATGGCACCTGAAGTGTTACTGAAGAAAGGTTATGGAATGGAGTGTGACTGGTGGGAGCTACTTCTGATCCTATTTTTCCAATCAATAAATGTTATCTCAGATGCCTTCTGCTGGTGCTACTGTTTGGATATTTTTAGATTTTTTTTGGTGTTGAATGGGAGTAAAATAGTTGGAAATTTGTCTTGTGGGTCCATACAGGAGTCATACATAAAACAATTAGAAGAAGTGGTAACAGGTCAATCTTCTTTAATTGATGTCATTATTTCAGTCATGCTTATAATCCTACCCATGTGTGGTTACCTTCATGTCGTCGGTCATTCCTCTATTTCGAGCTATGTAGGGGCACATTTATGTTAACTAATTAGCTGCTAAATCTTTTCTCACTAGCTTAACTGAGGTTCAAATTGGGTTTCCTTTGTCCTTTAGGTTCTGTTTGTTTGCAATGCAAATCTGAACCAGTACAAGTTCTGCACCTGGTTCATTTTTGCATTTGTTTATTTATAACTATGATTTGCGCTCTTACCTGATGCAAAATTTGCACCATTTTCCTTTTGTCTTAATTCTCTCTCATATGAAGTGGAGACCACATTGATTTGCTTCCTACCTTACTCCTCCCAAACAGATAAGCTTCCTCCTACCTTCATTCTCTTTCATATAAAGTATCATTTTACCTCTTATTTTATTTCTTGCAAACAAACAAAAAAAAGTCAAATCTGAAGCAAAAGTAAACGAGGATTTACACTCATCTCATTTTCACTCCTTATTTACACTACTAGAAATGAAATTTGTACTGCAAACAAATGGAGCCTCAGAACGTTGCACATGCATCAAATTACTCCAATGCATTCCATTGAAAATACTCATTTGTGGTATTATTCTCCCTATTCTTGCCTATTATCATCTCAACATTCTCATTCATACCATCCTCAGTTTGTGGATTTGCTGTGTGCATAGGTAAAACAAAGTTTTGTAGTCATTAACCACAAATGGGGGAATTAGAGATGGTAGTGGGACGGTTGTTTCAGCTTTGAGGGTGATTGAAGGGGCTTTGTTGGGGATTGGTGAGGGTGATGTTGTCATGGAGCTTGTTGTTGAGTCACACAAAGATAATAAGGAAGGGGTGGCAGACGAAGAGAGGGAGGGTAACAGGGAAGGTAATGGAGTGAGAAATTCTCGAGGAGTGAGCAATCAGGTAAATAACGGGAAGGACAGTCACATGAAGGTCCAAGATGGGGATGAAGGAGAAGATCAAAGGCCTAGAGAAGAAGTTGGTGCAAAAAAATGTATAAAAATCTAGAAGATACAGAACAAAGCCATTACAGAAGGAGGTTGCAATTGAGGATACGAAAAATAAAGGGAGGGACTCTGATGATGAGGAAGTGATTCTGGATGAAACTCATGCAATTGAAGGGATAGTTCATTTGGAAAAAGTGGTGCAAATAGAGGTAGAAGTTGGTAAATATTTGGGGTTACATATTATTGAAGGGGAGGTTTTGCTAAAAAAATGTTTAAAGATTTGGAGGAAAGATATCTGATGCCTTTGGAGGATAAAGGAAATTCTAGTTTCTGTTCCAAAGAGAATGGTATCGATGTTGATCCAAAAAAATCTAAGTCCGTTTAAAGGAGCTGGTGTTGGTTGTAGAAAAGAGGGAGAGGTGGCACAGGACCAGTTTTTTGAGAGAAATGTGGTTTTGGAACTGGAAGAATCAATTAAGGTCAAAGGGGTCTAAGGGAGCTGAAGAAGAACCCCAACACTGTAAGAAGATTCGACAATCAGAAAACTCCTAGAACAGTCCAGGTTTCAAAAGTGTTTGTGTTACAAGAAACCCAAGAAAAACCGATTCGAATGGCATTCAAAAATGAAAGTAAAACAGGGATAAAGAGAAGTAAGCACAAAGAACACACAGATTTATGTGGTTCGGCTTATAGCCTATGTCCACGGGCGAATGAGGAGTAGAAATCCACTATGTAGTCGGCAATGGAGAAGAAATACAGAGTTGTGCACTCACAATCTCACTCACAGAATAAACCCTAAACCCCAAACTACACTCAATGTCTCACACTCTCACAAGACAAAGGCAAAGTATGGAAGAGAGAAAACCCCCGAAAAATACATAACTCTTCGTATTTGGTTCGGACCTATAAGCTGAATATGGATCGGGTTCATATTGCCATGGGGGCTACGCCCCCCACCCCCAATGGTGATTTGTGGTGGGCTATGGGCCTACGCCTTCACCACAAACCACTATGAAATTTTGCCTTCGTGTTTTTCTCAAATTATTTCGGGGCGAATTCATAAAGCGGGTTGCCACAAAGAATTCAAGGCACAAACATAACAAATCTCCACCTTGGCTTGAATTCTCTCAAGCATCACAGAATAGCAATCTCTTTTCACCTTCTCCAACAAAAGCCCCAACGGGCAAACTCAAATGTTGTAAACACCAATCAGGTCCAAGCAATGCTTGAACTTAGCCACAGGAAGAGGCTTTGTTAACATATTAGCTGGGTTATCTGCAATACCAATCTTCTTTACAATAATATCTCCTTGTTCTACAACATCACGGACAAAATGGTACCTCACATCAATGTGTTTTATCCTCTCATGGTACATTTGATCCTTGGTTAGATGAATAGCACTTTGACTATCATAGTAGACGACTGTCACCTTTGGACCCAAACTGAGTTCACCAAACAAACCTCTCAACCAAATAACTTCTTTAACTACCTTTGTCACTGCCATATACTCAACTTCAGTAGTAGATAAGGCAATTGTAGACTATAAAGTAGCTTTCCAACTAACAACACAACCACCAATCAAACTGTTAAGATCACCTGCATAATCTGAATCAACATAACCCATCAAACTCTCACTACTCCTCCCAAACTCCAAACAAGTATTTGATGTTCCTTTCAAGTATCTGAGAATCCACTTCACTGCCTACTAATGTGTCTTGTTAAGACATGACATATATCTGCTCACCACACTAACTACATGTGAAATGTTAGGTCGTGTACAAACCATGGCATACATTATACTCCCAACTGCACTGGAGTAGGGGACACGTGACATATATTTTTCTTCTTCATCTGTCTGTGGTGATAAATTTGTTGAAGGTCTAACGTGGGCTGCAATAGGAGTACTTACTGGTTTGGCATCTTTCATGCCAAAGCGCTCTAAGACCTTCTCAACATACTTTTGTTTTGTCAAATACAACTTCCTTGCTTTTTGGTCCCTTTGAATCTCCATGCCAAGAATTTTCTTTGTTGTGCCCAAATCTTTCATTTCAAACTCACCACTCAACTGTGTTTTTAATTTGTTGATCTCAGATATTTCTTTTGTTGCAATAAGCATATCATCAACATAAAGTAGCAAGTAAACAAAAGAATTATTCGTAAGTTTCTTGAAATAAACACAACTATCATACTTGCATTTGGAATACCCAAGAGCCACCATAAAAGAGTCAAATCTTCTATACCATTGTCTGGGAGACTATTTTAAGCCATACAAAGATTTCTTTAACAAGCCAACATGGTCTTCCTTCCCTTCAACAACAAAACCCTTAGGTTGATGCATATAAATCTGTTCATCAAGTTCTCCATGCAAGAAAGCAGTTTTAACATCTAATTGTTCTAATTCCAAATTATGCATGGCAACCAAAGTAAGAAAAACACGAATGGATCTATGTCTAATTAGTGAGGAAACATCATTAAAATCAACACCTTGTACCTACTGTAACCTTTTGCAATCAGTCATGCTTTATATCTAGCATCCTCTACGCCTGGAGTACCTTCTTTCCTTTTGAAAGCCCATTTGCATCCAGCAATCTTCTTTCCCTTAGATGGTCTTACCAACTCCCAAGTTTGGTTCTTATGCAAGGATTCAATCTCTTCATGCATAGCTGTCAACCACTTAACAGAATTAACAGATGAGATAGCTTCTGCATAAGTATTAGGTTCTGTAACATTAACATTCTCTACAACTGATAATGCATAGGCAACCAGATCAGCATAACCATATCTTTGAGGTGGTCTAACCTCTCTCCTTGTTCTGCCTCTAGCAATAGAATATTGCTCCTCCTCTTCTTCCTCTTGTACATGTTCTTCTATCTCAATAGAAATGGGCACCTGGACTGATGTAAACTAAGGTGAGGAAGAACTTCTAACTTCTAACTCCACCTTCTTTCTTGAACCTTGTGTTTTATCTGCATTACAAGAAATAGAAGATTCATTTTTCGGGCGAAGCATAGCAGATTCATCAAAAGTAACATCTCTGCTAACTATGAATTTTGGTGGTTTAGGATCAGGACACCACAATCTATATCCCTTCACACCTGAAACATAACCAAGAAATATGCACTTCTTGGCCCTAGGCTCAAGCTTGCCTTCATTAACATGTGCATATGCTGGACAACCAAATATTTTCTAGTTTGAGTAATCAGGAGGGTTGCCAGACCATACTTCTTCTGGAGTCTTACACTCAATGGCTGTAGATGGAGATTCCACCTAAAATTGCTGGTTTTTGTTGGGAAGTGTATTATGGTAAAATTAATACTGTGGACAGTGTACAAAAAAAGAGACCTTATTCATGCTTGTACCCCAATTGGTGCATTTTATGTAAAGTGCAGAATGAGGACCGTTATCACCTACTGATTTCTTGCTCTTTTACAGTAAATATTTGGAATTAGGTTTTTATGTTGTTTGGGGATAGGTGGAACTTGCCTTCTGAAGTAAATTTGCTTTTTGATCCGTCTTTTTTTCGGTTGGCCAACAAAGAGAGGGAAAGTAATATGGAAATGTATTAGGGCAGCTGTTATGGATGCCTTCCTCGGGAAGACGTACCATCGCCGCCGGCAGCAACAGGCCCCGGGCCCACCGCCAGTAGCAGCAAGGATTCAGTGATGCTCATCCTACCCAGTTCGGCAACAACAGCCTTATCTAGATTAGATTAGCTCATTTTGCTTGTTCTTATCTTAT